TAAGGTCTTTCTGATTGTAAGAAACAGTCAGTCTCCGTTTATTATAATTAATTGTTTCAGATATCTGTACTATATAACAAATCACCCCCATAATTTGTGATTTAAAACAATAATAATTTATTATTTATCATAATTCTGAGGGTTTGTTAACCCTCAGATGGCTAACATCTGTTTCTTCTGTTCTCACATGGTTTTTCTGTTGCATGTGGATTAACAAGTCACTTAACTGCCTTTAGCTGGGAGTTCAGCTGAGACCAGAAAGTCCAAGATGGTCATTCATGACCCAGGGTCTCTTTCCACTGGCCTCTTATCATTCAGCAGTCTGCTCAAACTTCCCAGAGGGAACATTACAAGAGGTTAAACCCTAGTGTGCAAATGTTCAGCACACCTCTGCTTGCATAGTTCTTCCTAAAATCCCATTGACCAAAGTATGTCACATGGCCAAGCCCAGAGGCATTGTGAGAGAGGACTCCACAAGGGTACGGATGCTGGGAGGAGTGTTTCCTGTGGGCCACTGATGTAGCAATCTGCCTACCATATTAATAAAGGCTTGCTTTAGAATTCACAGGTAAAAGAAAGACAGGAAGTTGTTTCAACAAAGTCACTGTTCTGGCAAATTTCATAGAGAACTGGAACATTGTTTGGGATACCAAGAGTTTTAGAGGCCCAATTATCATAGTGCAACAGAGGCAGACACTTGTTATCAGATGTTCCACTCAGTGACTCTTTGTCTCTATTTCTGCTGATCTTGTTGCTGCCCACGGGCTTCATTCTGCTCTTGATACGTCATATCCTCTGCTTACACATGGTTTCTCATTCTGTCTTGCCTCTGTGTGGTCTTTGACCTTTATGTCTCTCCAAATTGTTGACTCATTTTCTCTTTCTGCCTTATATACTCTCCCCATGAGAAAGGAATTTCTTACCACTTCATTAGACATTCTTCAGCCTTCTAAAACAACAAGTCATCTCATAGGCTCCATGTGGCTGCTGCCTTTGGTCAGACCCCCTAATTACTCTAGCCTTGACCAGGATGGTGAGGTTGATGCCAAAATTCAGACAATGAGCATAGCATGTCTTCAGAGTGGAACAGTCTTCTCTCCATTCTGTTTAGCTAATTGTAATTGGATTTGCAGGTAGGAGAGAAGATGGCTTCTTTTGAAAAGCACTGTTCTCTTTCTCTCTTATTCCACCCTTCCTTCCTTTTCCAATCATCTTTCTGACTCCTGAAGCTGATGCTAACAACTGTCATCAGATAACCTGCTGGACATATGTAGAACAGGTGCCATCCTTGGTCAGAGTCACTATGAGTCTTATACATATGGACTTGCCGTAGCATACTTTACCTTTTGTCTTAGATCTCTCAAGTATATTACTGTCTACAAATTCCTTTCTTGTAATTTATGTGCTTAATGGAGGAGCTGTGAAAAAGCCAGTATCAAAATAATTGTTTGTTGCAATAATTAGATTTTATTGAAAGACATTGGTATTTTTTATGTTTAACATCAAAGTCAAAAAGGCTTTTAAAATTTTTTCTAAATCCAAGAGGTTCGTAAAACATTGTCTTATATATATTTTTATACTTTTTTATGCATGAAATATCTCTAGAAGGATTCACAAAACTTGGTAATAGTAACACTCCCAAGGGAGAAACCTGGTTTCTGGGTTGCTTACTTTGAATTATATGGCCACACCCATTTAGCTCCCCAATCAGTGAGGCCAGCCACTAATGAGTCACCAGAGCAATAATTGGTGAGCAAAGGAACATCCAGTCACATGTTTATTGGCTCAGAGTGTTGATCATGTTACGTTGTACAATCAGCATTGAACCACCCATGCTGGGGTGCTGAAAAGTACAGACTAGAATGAAATGGTAAGTAATGGATGGCCTTCCAGTTCTGATAAAAAGCTGATATATATGTTTTTAAATTAAACTAATTTCATCTTTCACTTGAGAAAAAAAGATTTTATTTTATTTTCTTTCAAATACTTTTAAAGTACTTTTTAAGTAAACAACAGAAGAGCTATGTTTCTTGGGCTTAATATGAATCCTTTTGTCAAAACTTTATTTTTTTAAATATATATGGTAAATAATGCAGGGGAACATTTTCTCTATGATTTAATATGAATGGTAGGCCAAAAGAAGTAAGGGAACCTTGAATTGCATTTCTTTTCTAATGAGGAAAAGTTTTTTGAAGAAGGGAGATTTATTTCCCCTTCTCTTTCAGAGATTTGCTAGATTATATGTGAAAAGTTGCTTTGAGTGGAGTCAAATGAAATATTAAAAGGCTTTATTGTTTAGCGTTACTCTTGGTCATTTTAACAATGTATGTGGTTTTAAACATCAAGGTGATTTATATTCCAAAGATGAACCTACCATTTGTCTTATTCAAGCATGCTTTAAAATGTCTGTGGCAAATATTTTTTTCCAAATTACAAGCTATATTGTACTAACGTACTCTTAAGCCTTGACTAAACATGACTTGCTCTTTCATATTGGGGTTTTATTCATTTCAATGTAATTGCATAAACAATTTAGTTTTAGCTCATGGTTCTCATGTGAGAGAATGAACGTCATTTTTCATGGTAAACTACAAGGCAGATGGGCTCCTAGCAGGGCAGGGTGTTGACATCAATATTGAGAGTTACAGAAGCAGTGGTGTTTCTTTGTGAGACATGGAGAGCACATTACTCTTACAGAGAGTAAGCTTAATTTCTTGTAGCTGTATTTGATTTTTCACTTTAACTGAGTGCCAGGGACCTAATGCTGTCCTTGGACATTAGGTTTTTCACTTATGACGGCATAGATAGGAGGAGTGCATGATTTTCCAGGGGCAGGCTTCAGAGGATGGGCTGGGCCATTGCTTTGTCCTCCTCGAACAACCTACACTGGAGATAATTCTATGGCTACTGGTGCAGTTAACTTACAACTTCTTAGAAGAAAGACCACATTTTCAGTTATCGTAGTTCGTGCTTTCTCTCATTGTGAGGATTTACTCATGTCTCTAAGTAAGTGCTTTCACAATTTTTTCTATTTTTTTTTCTTTATACAACACTGTAATTTAATATGCAATATTTTATTCCATATGCACTTTTAAAAGGTAAATTGGGTTGAATGATACTTTCTTTTATTTAAAGTTGTCTAATGGTTTTCTCTATTTTGAAAGATGACTAGTTAAGGCATACAGGAAAATAAGTAACAAATTAAGAACTTAGAACAGAAATTGTATGTAGTTGCTTAATATCTTACGAGCACTAAACTGTATTAGTACATCTTTGAGAAGGTGTGTTAGTTCTCCAGCACCTATTCAAAAAGTGAGGCAATTAAGTCGAATAAACTTGATGAGCTTGACACATAAATCAGTCAGGTGTGCCATTTTCCCCTCAGTGTTTGATTCTGTAGTTTTCTCTAAATATGTATAGTATGCAACATCAACTTGTTTTAGTGCCATTTATGCCAATTATTTTTACTTTCCCTGAAGCTTATGTGTAAATTCAGAATTAGCATTTTAATAGAAAATCATGAGAGGCCTAAGTGAATTTGGCTAATTGATATAGATATGCTTTGCACACACTGAAAGACAGTCTGGTTTGTATTTTGTTTAGAAATGGTTGTGTAGGCTTCTATACCTGCCTCTCAATGCTTAATGAGACTGATTGTTTATATATTATATGATGGAAAGCCAATTTCCTAGCTCTTAAATGAAACCACATAATATGGATATTTCATTCACAAAATATTTATATATGTATAATGTCTATGTTTAGCACAGTAAATTTCTTTATATTTATTTAGCAATGAGAGTCCAATTACAATTGTAATTCGGTTCACATCAGAACTCAGTTTCTAGCAAAACATGTCTGTATTCTGTGTTTATGCTCATGCTCTCCTCTGTACAGGAAACACTTCAGTGTGCAAGGCACACTAGATTACATGGTAGGAGAGGGACATAAAGATGAGAGAGGCACAACCTTTATCTGAAGGAGCAGGGGAGAGAGCATGCATACTAAAAAAAACTCTTTGACTCTGTATCTATCTATATCATATATGTGATGATTAAAACAAGGAATTTTTGGAATTCCTAGGGGATAAAATGACTTCTACTTTTAATAATGAGCTAATGCTTTCATTTTAACTGATCTATAAAGAAATAAATTGAATTTTGATAAGGAAATATGGTGGAATGGTCATCCAGGAAGAAAGAATGGAATAAACATAGCAAAAAGGTGGGAAAATTCAAAGCATTGACCCAACAAAGAAAAACAGAAACAGGGCATCAAACAAACAAACAGTTATGTGGAAATAGAAGATAAGGTTGGTAGGATAAAATGAGGCCAAGATATTGAGGAGTTTTTTTATTACCTGTTTAAGGATGTATTGAACTCTATATGATAGATCCCATGTGGTTACTCCCAATATTTAACCAAAGAAGATCATTTAGGAAAAATTAATCAATGGTGCTCAGGAAGGTGACATCAGTGAAGAAGGCCTGGAACTCAGAGCCCAGGCAATCTGTTGCCGTAGTCTAGGTAAAAAATTGGAAAGGCCTGCATTGTTAGTGGTTCATCTGGTAAGTCAGTATTTGGGGTTTGAAGCAAATTTGCAGCAATGCCTGGAGTTTCCCCGAGATAATATCTAGAATGGAGAAGCCAATAGGCCTCCCCACTAAAATCATGCTTTCTAACTGACTTACAAGCCAAGTTTGTGTGATCTATGAGGAACATCATGGCAGCCTTTGATATGAATGCAGATATTTAGAATGGAAAAACAATAAAGATGGTAAAGTAGATGGATTTTGCCTAGCATCACTACAAATATTTCTGACCTGACTTAAGCTGGTTTATGAATAAATGATTATTCTGGTCCTGAGAGTTAAATATTTAAAAATTAGCTCATTTTTAGAGTTCATGTATAATCCAAGACTAATTTTCTTTGCTACCAATTTCTGCTCTTCATTTCCTTCTTTTTAATACACTATAATTTTTATTCTACCCTTTTTTAGTTTCCTGCATGAAAATTATTTAGACATTGCACACAAATCTTTTGTGAAAGAAGAAAAGGAGATTCAGTTTGTGAGTCTCAGCAGGAGTTAAGCTAACGCAGTTTAAAATAATGCCAAAAAAGAAGCACTTATCTGCAGGCAGAGTGCCTCTGATTCTCTTCCTGTGCCAGATGATTAGTGCACTGGATGTACCTCTTGATCGTAAGTATTAATGTTTTAAAGCTGTTAGGCCCGGGAGTTAAAACTTCCCCAGCATTTACTGTTACTGTGAACTGTGTGAATGGAGAAAGTATCTGTGTGATACTGAAAAGCTAATCAAAATTAATTTGTCTTTTACCTGCAGCACCTGGTATTTATAAAGAATCACACCATAGAAAAGGCCATTGAAATGGTCAGACACGTTGTACCCTCCCTATCATTATCTTTCTCCCTGCTCAGGTGCCTTTGTGTACCATGGGGCAGGGGTTGGCCTAAGCAGGAGTAAATTGTGGTCTGCCCTGATCCTCCCAACAGGGGACTCTCTATAAAAGGAGTCCTGCAAGAAAACTGTATGAATTACTTTAAAATGATTGTGAAGACCGCCCTGTCACCCCTCCCCGCTCTCCACCCTCTCATGTACTGAGTGGTCTGAAAAAGACTGGGGGATAGTCTGTCAGCCAACTCCACACCACTCTGTATCCCCAAACTACTCATAATTCATTTCTCTTGATTCAGGCAAGGCAAAATTCACCTTTGATTCTTGAATATTAAATATGAATTTATACATAGGAAATCTATCCTATCTAAAGCCTACTGAACGGTCTTCTTTGTTTAAAAACATAATCAAAGATCAAGATGTAATTTTGAATATAAAACAAGTCATCTGCAAAAACACTATTTAAAATAGAGCAAGTAATGGCTATTATATTAGCATACCCTTTTCCTAGTAGTAAAGTATATGCTGGACTCTCTCTGGTCTGGATGGCCTATTTATGAAAAATAAAGATAATGCTAGGTTTCAATTGGTCACTTTTCCTGTACTGGAAAGTGCAATTTCAAAATTGGACAATTACTGTACTTCAGAATTGATTTATTCTTTATCCCTAATCTGCATGACCTCTCTAAATCCATTAGCTTCCTGAATAGAACATCTGTTTGGCAAGCTTTCCAAGGTGAAAGGAAGATAGTGCTTTCCTGGGGCTATTCAATTGTTGGGATGTCATTTTTTGCCAAAGGGGTTGCAATTGCCAGTGGAAAGACATTAAGGAGAGATGTAGTTTACCCCACATTTTGTTGAATTCCTCTGTTGTGCCTCTGTAATCTAAAGTACAACAAAATGCAATGTTTTACTTATTTTCAAAAAATGTGATTTCAATTATCTTAATTTCAATTAAACAATTATTTATGCTTGTTGGAGTTGGAATGCTTAAGTAAGCATTTGTCCTAACGTATATAGGAGAGGGTGAAAAGCAATGAAGAGAAATGTTTTTGTTCTCTCTTGTGTTAAATATGTTCCCCCTTAATCAGACTGCTTAATCTAACAATCAGAGGAAAACAATCACCTAAGGCTAACTCAGCTATCACTGCTAATGGAGAAGAAGCATAACCATGATGAAAAGAGTCACAAACAACCAGGTGCTCCTGCATTAACCTTTGCAAATACTAGTGCCAGGCAGCCCTGCAGAATCATTTGAATTGCCTCCTAATGTAATTTCTTCCCTGCCCCTATTCCTTACATCCTTTCTACAAGAGCTGCTCCTTGCTGTGGCTACTAGCAATCCCTGGGTGGTTGGGGAATTCTGAAAGCATAAATATGCTAACCATTTGAAAAATATATTACTGACATAGGTATTGACTATAGAAATACAAAAACCTAAAATCAGTGTTGGATTTGTCTTGGATGGAGCGTTGTCATTGCAGTCATGTCTCATTGTTAAGTATTATTACCATGTGCATATGATGTCTGGGATAATAGGATTAGACACTGTATAGTATGTGACAACTCACATTAATTGTAGATTTCAGCTTTTTTCAAATTGATAATAATTACTTGTCCAGTACAACATGGATGGAATGGAATTAGCCTTTCTTATTCCTGGAAGAATTAATTTTTGCCTATAGCATTGCTTTTGTTCTTCCATGTGTTATGTGGGATACTGCTGTAGGAATAAACAAAACCATGAATGGCAGTTTCTTTCTCCTACAACTTCAAACTTTGTTATACTAGTTTTTTAGGTCAAATTATATCAAGATGCCCCTATTATCTTCAGAGTTCTAACATTCTTATTACTAACACCTGGTTTTCTTTAATCCTGTTTGCCCACTCACCTGCTGATATTGATGGGGAAAAAGCAAAACTTCTTGAAGACTGTAAGTGTCTTTCTGTAATTACTAGGCAGTGTGAAAATTTGGCCATGTCTTTGTTTTTGAATGAATAGAGTGAATTAAATGCACAATTTTATGTTTTGTGACTAATATGTTTTTAAGCATGTGTATTTATTGTGACTAAACATTAAATACCAAGAAGCAAGTTTAATATATCTCCTGCATGAATTCTAAAGACTCAGGTATTACTATTTTTTATTTACCTATATTATGTTCTAGTAACGTCTGTGCTTTATTTACTTCTGATGTAACTCAATGAGAAAATTCATAAAATTTAAAGGGAATGACTCTCTGGTTCTAAATGCTATTAAATGTTTGCTGGAATACAGACACGTCTTTTGGTATCTTTTAGAAAGGGGATGCATGTAGATACATCATCCAAGTCGGCATCTCTACCCTCTTATCCTCCCTCAGCCTGCAGTGTAATGGCCTGGAGAATTTGAAATTGTTTTGAAGTGTGCAAAAGGCAATAAATAGCCCTCCCTCACAGCATTTCTGAGTGGCCTGCTCTAAGCAAAAACTTCTGCTGCCTCTGACAGTTGAGCAGCATCTATCATCTGCCTAAAATAGAGTTTTCAGGCATTTGAAAAATCTTTTGATGTTGGATTGACCAGGAAAATTATATTAAATGACCTTCTTTTCTTATTGCTTCAAAGTATTTGTTAGTTGCCAGGTGATCTAAACACTGTTCAAATAGGTACATTGATAGTAAACTGGCAATTAAGAGTGACATCTATGCCTGCTCTGTTGGAAACACATGAACAGAAGTTCTGGGTCTGAAACCACCACACTTGCCCCTCTATTGCTTGCAGAAAAGCACAAGGAATTGGGCTGAGTTATTCCTAAGAATTTCCTCACCTACTACCTATGTCCACCATTCCCTGGGTGTGAAATTCCGGGTTTCTTTCCATCATTCCAAACTCTGTACTCCCAGAACCTAAAGGATCACTCAAAGGTGAAGCTGACCCAAATGAAAATGATTGTGATAATAATGTAAACAGCTAACATCACTGAACCATTATAGTATTGGCATGTACTAAAACTTTTACACAAATTATTTTATTTAATCTTCCAGTGACTAGGAGTCAGATACTACTTTTAAACCCTATTTTCTCTCTAAGGAAGCTAGGTCTTACAGAAGTTAATAAAACTGGCTTGAGGTCTCAAAACTAAAGAAAGAAACAAACTATTTCTTAGCCACCAGACCACACTGCTAACCAATATTGGGAACTGACAGGGCTGGGAGAATTAGGGGTCTGTGTCATGATGGAGGCTGGCAAGAGCAGCTGGCTTATCAGGAGAACAAGGAGGAGGATGAAAGGGAGGGGAGATTGATAATGTCCAGTATCCTGCATTTAATAGGTGCACAATAAATAATGACAATGATGGGTTCAGCTTTTGATCTGTTTTTTTAGGTGTCATTTGGATACTTAGTAAAGATGTCTGGTGGACAGCACAAGGCTGGAGACAAAGCAAGAGAAGAGAACCATGTTTGCAGGTTTATAAGACAATGGACATGGAAGTGACAAATTGAGCCCTGACAATAAATAACTACAGTAAAGAAAGACAAGAGCAGAGGGCAACTTGGTTGGCACATGGAAGGGAATTCACAAAGGAAGCACAGAGCATGGGCAGAAAGGGGAGATCTAGAATATGAAGAACTTAAATGATTGAGATAACTCTTTGTTCTGGTGGGGGAGGCATTGTAAGATGTCTAGCAGCATCTCTGGCCTATGCTATAATCGATGCCAGTACTACTCCCAGCCCCAGAAGTGACATTCAAAATTATCTCCAGATATAACTAAATGTTCTCTCAAGGGTTGGGGGCAAATTGCCCCAGGTTGAGAACCACTGGTCTATATAAACATCTCACCCTGAATTTGTACAAGTCAGTGGTTTCTACCAGAAGAGTTTTTTTTCTCTGTGCCTTCCTAGTCAAGCCTAGTTACTACCTTAAGCAAAATATAAGTTTAAGTAGATTATTTCTCTAGTCCTTACCTGTTCTAACACTCCGTGATTTTGATTTCACAAGAAGAATATGTTAATTTTAGAGTGACTTTAATGTTAGATGGCCAGATACCAGCTTTCTTCAGATTAAATTGTTTTGGGTTAAAATGGTTTCCCCCTATTATTTAATAATAAGTGATCACATAACACCTTGAAGGGTGAAATGGAAATATTATCTCCTATAATAGAGAACTTCCCAAATCTATTTATCTTCTAAATAAGAAAGATCACACGGACAGGAACAACAGTTATCTTTGTTCTTACTAGCCACCGACATCATGGTTCTAATAAGACATGTCAAGTCTCTAATTTAACCATCTTTTTAACATTAACTTCTCAAATATATTTGTTCCTAGCATACATTGTGGGGTAAAAGTAGGTTTACAGTTGTGAGTATGTGAAACAGAGGTTATCCTTGTATTATTATTTATTAACTATTATATTCTGTATGAAAACTGTAAACATTCTTTTGCCCCACCCTGTGTATTAATTAAATTAGCTCACTAATGAGCTATAAGCCAAATACTTGTTCCTAAGGAATGCAAATTTACCTCATAATTTAAATTTCACTGAAAGGCCTGTTTGAATCAAAGAAATCAGAGGAATTCCTCATTGTTACATCAGAAAAGAAACTGTCTTAATGTTAAAATTGTATTGGTAATTATTTTCCCAAACTTTTAGTGTGGGAAATTGGGCTTTGTGAGTAACCAAAAAGTTCTGCCTTGACTTCAAAGATTTCAGAAATTGCAGGTTAAAAATCGGTTGGGGTGTGTGCTGCCACCATAGAAATTACTAAAAACATTTGGAGCATATTTAGTCTGGGGTAAGCAATTTTGATATAGAAAAAATGATTGCTATGGTGATATTAAATAATTCATTTCTTTACATTGTTCTTTCTATAATTAAGTGGTACAACCTCCAACCATTACTCAACAATCTCCAAAAGATTACATTATTGACCCTCGAGAGAATATTGTAATCCAATGTGAGGCCAAAGGGAAACCTCCTCCAAGGTGGGTATGCTTTCTACTTTGTTATAGTACTTAAAGTAAGCATTGATATTAACATTGAAATCAATTCAGATCCTGCACATCTTTCAGTTATCATTTGTAGGTTCTCATTGTTTTGTCTCTCTGCTTAAAGTCAGTTTGTCCTTTTTGAAAACCCAAATAGCATTTCTGTATTCATGCCCTTCTGCAAAATGTTTAAAAATTGTGTGGGAGATATGGAAAGAGCCTTCCAGAGACTCTACTAACCCTGTGACGTGGGCAAATCCCTTCTCTCTGGGCCTCAGTTTCTTCATTTTTAAAATAAAGAAATTGAATTTGATGATTTCTAAGATCTCTCCTATCTCTAGAGAGGTCTATAAAGTAGTCTTAAGTGGGTCTCCAAACTTGGCTGGGTTCATCTTTTCAGGATTCTTCAAACAGATCTTGGAATGAGCACTGCATGGCATTTTAGACTTGGGAGAGATACTAGAGATTATCTGGTCTATCCAGTACATTTTATAAATGGGAAACCAATACCTCTTAATGCTAGATAACTTATCCAAGGTCCCACAGTTAATTAGTAAATGAGATATCTGTAACTTGTCCAATAATATATAGGAGTTTGGGAGAGTTAGATTATTATTATTAAAATGCAGTGTGGATTTTTAAGTAATAAAAATGTGAAAGTTTCTAAATAGTTTCTTTTTTAACAACAACAAAAAAATGATTATTTAATTTACATACCGTAAAATTTACCCATTATAAGTGCTCTGTTATTTTTACCAATTGACAGTTGTGCAACCATCACTACACTCAGTTTTAGAACTTTTTTCATTTTCCCTTATGCTCTTTTGCCATAAATCTCCCGACTACCTTTAGCCTCAGGCACTAATCAAATGTCTGTCTCTATAGATTTCATATAAATGGAATGTAATATGTACTCTTTTGTACATCTGCATTCTTTCAGTTGGCATAATGATTGGCTATTATGAATGATACTATAATGAACATTCTGTGCAAGTCTTTGTGTAGATATTTGGTTTTATTTCTCTTGGGTAAATATCAGAGCAGAATTGCCAGGCTGTATGATGAGTTTATGTTTAACTTTTTAAGAAACTACCAAACCATTTTCCAAATTGGCTTTCCCATTTTACATCTCCATCAGCAATGTAAAAAGGTTGCTACTTCTCCCCATCCTCTACAACACTTGTTATTGTCTGTCTTGATTTTAGCTATTCTAGTGAGGGTGAAAAGGTAATTCATTGATGTTTTAATTTGCATTTCTCTGATGATCATATGATGAAGCAACTTTTCATATGCTTATTAAATATTTATATATCTTCTTTGTTGAAATATTTATTTTAATCTTTGGCTCATTTTTTAAATTAATTAATTTATTTTTGTTACAGATGTTTCTCCTTTTTCCCCAATGATTCCCCCCTCCCACACCCTCCCCACCCTGTCCCCAGCTTTGTTGTCCATGTCCATTGTTCATGCACACATGCATATAAGTTCTGTGGTTTATCTCTCTCCCACCACCCCCTCTTCTGGGGATTGTCAGTCTGTACCCCACTTCCACATCTCTGGGACTACCTCATTCCTCAGACTGTTATGTTCATTATATTCCACAAATAAGTGAGATCATATGATACTTGTCTTTCTCTCTTTGGCTTGTTTCACTTAGAATAATAATTTCCAGGTCCCTCCATGTCGTCTCAAAGGATAAGAGATCTTTCTTTCTTACAGCTGCATAGTATTCCATTGTGTATATGTATCATAGTTTTTTCATCCATTCATCTACTGATGGACATTTGGGCTGTTTCCAGATCTTAGCTATTGTAAATAGTGCTGCTACAAACATGGGGGTACATATATTCTTTCTGATGGGTATTTCAGGCTTCTTAGGGTATATTCCTAGAAGTGGGATCACTGGGTCAAATGGCAGTTTAATTTTTAATTTTTTGAGGTAACAACATATTGTTTTCCATAGTAACTGCTCCAGTCTGCATTTCCACCAGCAGTGTACTAGAGTCCCCTTTTCTCCACACTCTCGTTTGGCTCATTTTTTACTTGAGTTACTTGTCTTCTAATTATTGAGTTCCTGAGAGTTCTTTATATATTCTGTATACAAGTCCTTTATTAAATACAGGATTTGCAAATGTTTTTTTAAATTTCTTTTTTATTTTTATTTACTATTATTTTTGTCTTTATTTTTTCCATTACCATTTATTCCTCCTATATTCTTTACCATCTCTACCCACCTCCTGCCCCTCCATAATCATCACACTGTTGTTCCTGTCCATGAGATCTTTCTTTTTTTTTCTTTTTTGCTCTATCCCTCCACCCCACCAACAAGAGCTGTCTGCCCGCTCACTGTCTATGAGTCTGTCTCTATTTTATTTGTTAGTTCAGTTTGTTCATTAAATTCCACATGAGTAAAATTATATGGTACTTGTCTTTCTCTAATGGGCTTATTTCACTTAGCACAATGTTTTCCAGGTCCATCCATGCTGTCACAAAGGGTAAAATTTTCTTCAATTTTAAATCTGAATGAGTAGTAATCAATGTATAAATGTGCTATAGCTGTTTTGTCCCCTCATTTACTGATGGATACCTGGAGTGCTTCCAAATCATGGCTATTGTAAATATTGCTTCAATGAATGTACAGGTGCATATATTCTTTTTCTTTGCTTTTTTCGTTACAGATGTTTCTCCTTTTTCCCCCATTGACACCCTCCTCCCCATCCCTCCCTGCCCTGTCCCCAGCTCTGTTGTCCATCGTTCATGCATACATGCATATAAGTTCTGTGGTTTATCTCTCCCCCACCACCCTCTCTTCTAGGAATTGTCAGTCTGTACCCTACTTCCACATCTCTGGGGCTACCCTGTTCTTCAGACTGTTATGTTCATTATGATCTCAATTCCACAAATAAGTGAGATCATATAATACTTCTCTTTCTCTGGTTTGTTTCACTTAGGATAATACTTTCCAGGTCCCTCCATGTCATCTCAAAGAATAAGAGATCTTTCTTTCTTACAGATGCGTAGTACTCTATTGTGTATATGTACCACAACTTTTTTATCCATTCGTCTACTGATGGACATTTGGGCTGTTTCCAGATCTTAGCTATTGTAAACAGTGCTGCTACAAACATGGGGGTACATATATTCTTTCTGATGGGTGTTTCAGGCTTCTCAGGGTATATTCCTAGATGTGTGATCACAAGGTCAAATGGCAGTTCAATTTTTAGTTTGTTGAGGTAATACCATATTGTTTTCCATAGTGGCTGCACCAGTCTGCATTCCCACCAGCAGTGTACGAGAGTCCCCTCTTCTCCACACCCTCGCCAACACTTGTTGTTTGATGATTTATTGATGGAAGCCATTCTGACAGGTGTGAGGTGGTACCTCATTGTTGTTGTTGTTTTTTTATTTATTAATTTTTGTTACAGATGTTTCTCCTTTTTCCCCCACTGATTCCCCCCCTCCCTCTCCCTCCCTGCCCTGTCCCCAGTTTGTTGTCCATGTCCACTGTTCATGCATACATGCATATAAGTTCTGTGGTTTATCTCTCCCCAACCACCCCCTCTTCTGGGGGTTGTCAGTCTGTACCCCACTTCCACATCTCTGGGACTACCCCATTCCTCAGACTGTTATGTTCATTATATTCCACAAATAAGTGAGATCATATACTTGTCTTCCTCTGTTTGGCTTGTTTCACTTAGGATGATATTTTCCAGTTCCATCCATGTAGTCTCAAAGGATAAGAGATCTTTCTTTCTTACAGATGCATAGTACTCCATTGTGTATATGTACCACAGCTTTTTTATCCATTTGTCTACTGATGGACACTTGGGCTGTTTCCAGATCGTAGCTATTATAAATAGTGCTGCTACAAACATGGGGGTACATATATTCTTTCTGATGAGTGTTTCAGGCTTCTTAGGGTATATTCCTAGAAGTGGGATCACTGGGTCAAATGGAAGTTCAATCTTTAATCCTTTGAGGTAACACTATATTGTTTTTCATAGTGGCTGCACCAGTCTGCATTCCCACCAGCAGTGTACTAGAGTCCCCTTTTCTCCACAACCTCGCCAACACTTGTCATTTGATGATTTGTTGATGGTGGCCATTCTGACAGGTGTGAGGTGATACCTCATTGTGGTTTTAATTTGTGTATCTCTGATGATTAGTGATGTTGAGCATTTCTTCATGTCTCTTAGCCATTTGTATGTCCTGTTTGGAGAGCTATCTATTTAGTTCTTCTGCCCATTTTTAAATTGGGTTCTTTGTCTTCCTTTTGTTGAGTTGTATGAGCACTGTATATATTTTGGAAATTAACCCCTTATCTGATAAATTAATGTTTCAAGTTATTTTTAATCTTTATAGTTGAGAGTATTACAGATGTCCCTGTTTTTTTCCCCCAGTGCCTCCCTCCACCTGGTTCCTGCCCCACCCCAGACATTTACCACCCTATTGTCTGTGTCCATGGGCAATGCATATATACATATAAATTCTATAGTTATTCTCTTTCCTCTCTGCTTCCCTCTGTGATTCATCAGTCTGTTCCATGTTTCTGTGCCTCTGGTGGTTCTATTTTAGTCATCAGTTTATTTTGTGCATTAGATTCCACATATAAGTGAGATCATGTAATATTTGTCTTTCTCTGACTGGCTTATTTTGCTTAGCAGAATAATCTCCAGGTCCCTCCATGCTGTCTCAAAGGGTAATAGAGCCCTCTTTTTTATAGCTGCATAGTCTTCCATTGTGTGAATGTACCACAGCTTTGTTATCGATTCATGTACTGGTGGCTACTTGGGCTGTTTCTAGATCTTAGCTATTGTAAATAATGTTGCTATGAATATAGGGATGTATATATTCTTTCTGGTTGGTGTTTCAGGATTCTTAGGGTATATTCCTAGAAGTAGGATCATAGAATCAAATGGCAGTTCTATTTTTAATTTTTTGAGGAAACTCTACATTGTTTTCTATAGTGGCTGCGCCAATCTGCATTCCCACCAGCA